ATAGAATCAGCCCCTCGGGCAATATCACAGAACAATACCAGCCCCTCGGGCTATATCTCATATCACAATGGGTACCTGCGCTCACTGGGGGTGTACAGACTCCGAGAAGGGGCCCTTACGGCCCAAGCGCAATATCAAGTCATCTCGTGGCGTCATAAACAGGCTCTCGGCCTCATATCAATCTCAAGCCACCTCGTGGCGTACAATCTCAGGTCCACTGCTGCGGCGTGCAGCCCGACCCAAAAGTATCCTCACAACACAGGCCCTCGGCCTTACTCAGTCAGAATCTCATAAGCCCCTCGGGCAACAGTAAAATATGAAGCTCAGCTCAAATATCTCTAAAAATATCATTTAAAGTGTTTTAAACAGAATAACATAGCTGAGTTTTGAAAACAAGGAAAATATGGCATGACTGAGCACGAGTAGGAAATCAAACAGTGAGGAAAATATCATTTAAAAATCTCCTAAGGGTTCAAACAGTTGGCATGAATCCCACATATGGCATTTAGCCCAAAATATAATAAAATCAACAAATAACTGTCATATACGCAGTAAAATAGTCATTCGAGATGGACTAAGTCACAATCCCCAACGGTGCTCGACCCCACGCTCGTCATTTAGCGTGTGTCTTACCTCAACATAGCCGAACGCTGTGAAATTCTGGGGTTTCATACCCTCAGGACAGCATTTATAATCATTACTCACCTTAATCCGACCCGAAGTTCAGCTCGCAATGCCCTTGCCCTTCGAATCGATCTCCGGATGCTTCGAATCTACCAAAATCAGAACGTAACCATTAATTTATGCTAAAGGGACGAAGCCCGCTCGAAATTATTCGAAAAACATCAAAAATCCTGAAATTACCAAAACCCGGCCCCTGTGCCCTCATCTCGGAATTCGCTAAAATTAACATCATTAGATTCCTTATCTCCCCACGAGTTCATACATATAAGAAGTTCCAAAATCCGACCACAAATGGTCTTCAAAATCCTCCATCAATGGCCTAGGTTTCTATGCCCTAGTTTCTCAAATTTTACTCTTAATGACATCTCTAATCCATGAATTAACACCATAAAAACGAGTTTTCATAATCCAAAACTTTACCTCAATAATGTCTCCTTGATTTCTCTCTTCAAAATCGCCCAAAGCTCCAAAATTCGTGTTTAAAAGTGAGAAAACTTTCTGAAAATCGCGAAGGAACTAACTTATATTTCCTGTCCAGAAATTTCCGCATCTGCGCCCATTTCAACGCATCTGTGGTACCGCTTCTGCGGTCAAGACCGCCGCATCTGCGGTCCCCACTTTAATCCACATTTCCCGCATCTGCGGTTCCATATCTGCACCTGCGCTATCGCAGGTGCGGTTCCTCCAATGGCATCTGCGGTTTTCTATCTTCCTAGATCCCTTCTGCTTCTGCGGCTACTCTCTCGCATATGCGGCGCCGCACCTGTGGTCCCCAATCCGCAGGTGCGGAAATACTAGAAGCAGCACAATCTGCAGTTGCAACAATTCCTCAAACTCCCTGTCAACCATCCGAAATCACCCCGAGGCCCCCGGGACCTCAACCAAAAGCACAAACATGTCCCATAACCTTATTCAAACTTGTACCAATCTTCAAAACACCTCAAACGACATCAAAATCACCAAAACTCATCGAATTCAAGCCTAAGGTTCTAAATTCTTCCGCATTCCGCTTTTGATAAAAAATCCAACCAAACCAAGTCCAAATGACCCGAAATTTTGCACACACATCCCAAATGCCATAACGGAGCTATTGCAACTTCCAGAATTCCATTCCCACCCCTATATCAAAATCTCACCTATCAACCGGAAAACGCCAAAAACTCAATTTCGCCAATTCAAGCCTAAATCTACTCCGGACCTCCAAAACACATTTCAATCACGCTCCTAAGTCCCAAATCATCTCCCGAAGCTATCCGAACCATCGGAACTCACATTTGAGCCCTCTAACACATAAGTCAACTTCTGGTTGACTTTTCCAACTTAAGCTTTCTTAAAAGAGACTAAGTGTCTCAACCCTTCTCAAAACCTTTCCGAACCCGAACCAACCAACCCGATCACATATAAAACCGATAATTAAAGCAAATAGAAATAGAAATGGGGAAAACGGAGCAGTAACTCAAAGACGACCGGCCGGGTCGTCACACATCCTCCCCCTCTTAAAACTAACGTTCGTCCTCGAACGTGCCAAGATTCGCCTCAAAGTCCTCAAGTTGTTGAATGCACACTTCCAACATACACTCGCGGGTGATCCCACACCATCCCAATCCACATAAACCTGACGACATCATCTCAACTAAAATTTAGCCTTTCTATCAATACCAATAATCCTTAGAGCCAGAATTCTCACCTTCCATCCATTTCCAAAGACCCGATTCTAAATCCATACCCGGTATCAGTCTCAACCAGCTACATCAATTCGTGCCAACACCCATATAGTACAACCTTACAACATGACACATCGGACATAGGCCCACAGTAACATTGTTGATCATAATATTTGCTCGAAACCAAATTCAGCACCGGTCCTAAGCCTCATATTCAATAGGGACCCGTTTCAAACCTCCACAACACCGGCAATGATACAATAACCACGAAAGCCACATAACTAAACACCCGAATCACCAAATCACAGCTAATACCGACGGGTACACACCCCACAAGCTAAAACTCAAGAAGCAAAGAACGAAAATGACTGAATATGGAAAGGGAAAACACATAAGGGAACTATTAAACAAGCCCGACAAGCACAAATTTTTCTATCAATACTAATCTACAAAACAATCTAACAAGAAAGAATTAAAGCATATAAAAGAATCACGAGGATCTCACACTGATATAACTCCCACCGTGGTACACAGCCCGGTCTCAACATATCAAATCACATGAAATCACGAGGGTCTCGCCCTCAACTCTGAATCACAAGTAGGATATACATCAAACCAATTAGAGCCTCTCGCTAAATCAATTCTACCACAATTTACAATAAGTGTTGGCTCCCACACTGATGGAGCATAAACATCACGGCTCATAGCAAAAAATACTCATAAATCACATCAAGCTTATCGAAAAGGACAACAGGAATTTACTACTTGTCTCATAACTCTGAACAATGAATTAAACAGATGATAGACACGGGCTATCACTCATAAATCCTCCCAACAGGGCCACACATAAACGAAGTGCTAATCATGAAATGCGCCCATAAGTGGAGCAACAAATAGGAAAACTCGCCCCGATAAGTAGAACTGCAATGAGCTACGATGACGCTCCTCTATAACAAGTCAAAATCATACCTGAAATGACATTATCTGGCTTAGCGTCCTTAAGCCTACTATTTGTAGCACATCTAGGGGCCGGGCCTCCCCATCTTGGGCGCCTTCTACTTGCTTGAATACCTCGCTGTGACACATTGGCCCGAAGTCTGGGACAAGCTCTCACCTTATGGCTAATATCTTCACACTCGAAGCAACCTCGCTGCTGACGTGGCTGTGGGAACTGTGCGCTACAGGTACTCCGAGACCCATGAACACCTGGATCACTATGCGAAGCCTGAAGCACGAACTGAACTGGCTGACCCACAAAACCTCTACCATGTCACACCCTGCCTCCAAAATAAGGACCAGTAGGTCTCCCCGGTCTACGAGGCCTCCTCGCCTCCCCAAACTCTCTCCTGATCTCGTCTGCCCTCTCTCTCATGGCCCCGCCTGTCCTCTCTCTCTTGGCCTCGCCTGACCTTTCTCTTCTCTCTCTCTCAAGCCACCATGACCTCCACCCTCCTAGCAATACTCACGGTCTGCTGATACGAAATATCTATCTCCAACTCCCGGGCCATGCTAGTCCTGATGCTGGGATAGAGTCCCTCAATAAACCAGCGGACTCTCCCAAATCGTAGAAACCAAGGTCGGTGCATGTCTGGCCAAATCACTAAATCTGATGGCATACTCTGATACTGACATAGTGCCCTAGCGCAGTTGCTCAAACTCCGCGCGCCATGCATCCCGGAGGGACTGAGGTACGAATTCTCTTAGGAATATCTCTGAAAACTGAACCCATGTAAGTGAAACTGACTTGGCCGGGCTACCCAACTCATATGCCCGCCACCACTGATAAGGCGCTCCCCTAAGCTGGAACGTAGTAAAAGCAACCCCACTCGACTCAACAATGCCCATAGTGCGGATAATGCGATGGAACTCCTCCAGAAAACCCTGTGCACTCTCTAAAGCTAAACCATTGAATGTAGGAGGGTCGTACTTCTTGTACCTCTCAAGCCTAAGCTGCTCTTCTTCAGATGATGTTGCCCTGAATACGGGCTAAGCTGGAACCACAGGCTGCGCCACCCTGACGCCTGGCACTTGACCAACATGAACTTGCTGCTCTAGAGTATGGGCGGCGGGAGTCTGAGTCCCTCCCCCGATCTGTGAGGTAGCTGGTGCAGCCAGAATCAACCCCGCCTGAGCCAATGTACCAAACATACTCAGGAACTGTGCTAAGGTCTCCTGAAGTCCGGGGGTAACATCAGGCGCCTCCGGTACCTGCCCCCAACTGGAGCAACTGGCGGCTCCTCAACAACTGCTCTGGTAGGTGCTCTAGCAGTGGCACGTACTCCTCATCGACCTCTGTCTCTGCCTCCAGCGACCCTTGCTCTGGGAGCAGCATCATCGGTAACTGCAACGCGTGTCCTCACTATCTGTGAGAGAATGAAATCATAATAGTTCAGACACCAAGATCAATAAGCTCGCACGATAGGAATGAAAGAAGTGAGATTGTCGTAATAGTTCCGTAGCCTCTCGAAGATAAGTACAGACGTCTCCGTTCCGATCCGCAAGACTCTACTAAACTCGCTTATGATTCATAGCACCTATGAACCTAGAGCCCTGATACCAACTTGTCACGACCCAACTTTCTCTCCGTTTAGGTATAGTGATGGCACCTAGTCTTAAGGACTAGGTGAGCCTGACATTTTCCCGAAAAACAAATAACAATAATTAACATCTAACATTCTTCTAAAATGAAATCTTTATACAAATAACATATTCCCCAAACCCGGTAGTACAAGTCATAAGCTCTACAGAGTTTCGCTAAAACTTCTAAACACAATTGTATGGAAATAAGTACAATAGTGTGAATATAAATTAAGAAGGTGATTTCGAAGCGTGCGAACGCAGCAACAGGTTTACCTTGAGTCTCCTCAGCAGCGGCCCGCGCAGCTACAAACGAATAATACCTGGGTCTGCACAAAAAAATATGCAGAAGAGAAACATGAGCACACCACAGCGGTGCCCAGTAAGTATCAAGACTAACCTCCGTGGAGTAGTGACGAGGAATAGTCAAGACACCTACTAGTCCAATAAACTGTACAACTAAGAGCATAGGAACAATGGAACATGATATATATATAAAGGCTACACGATATGGTAAATAATACAACAATCACAATATGGAAGAAAAACAGCAAGCGACAAAGGAAACACAGTAATAATGACACAGAAGAGCGAGCTAAATCACAAACCCAAAACCTAAATCACAAATACAGTAAAGGTAAGCAATAACTCAGAACCTACGACAGTGTTCACATCAAGTCTTAGCCAACAGACTCCACAAAATACCGAACCTCGGACAACTTACAGCTCACGGGTCCCAATACCTGAACCCTAACACTTGGCGTCCTATGCCCCCATCACAACTCATGGTCACGCTGATAACTCACTTACTAACTAGAGCTACTCTCACATATATGACAAGTAGACGAGGGTGTACATCTATACTCAGCAATATCAGGAGAACTTCATATCCAATGGGAGTGTTCAACTACATGTATGCTTGTGCAAGTGCTTTAACATAGTTCCTACCAGCTAATAAGCATATGGAAAAGAACGGACGGCATGTAAGATGTTTTCTCACAACTTTCACGAGATAAAACTCATACAGGTAAGCATACCACAACACAGTATCAAACAACAAGAATGCCCCATGCCATAAGAAATCATCACAATCAATCCCTGACATAGCCCGCCTTGTCTCGCCACGTGTGTAAATAATAACATAATAAGTGCCCGCCTTGTTTCGCCACACGTGTATCATAATAGTCCCACCTTGTCTCGCCACATGCGCAACCCACATATATATATATATATATATATATCCCGCCTTGTCACGCCGCATGTGCAATATGTCAATAGTAGCAATATCACGACAAAAACCTCGTGCAACCCCATAACAATAACCGCACGGCAGAAACCTTGTGCATCACAATATCAACAACCGCACGACAGAAACCTCGTGCACCACAACAAGTACCACATCAACAATGACAATATATACAAGAACACGACAAGTAAATCAACTCGAGAACTTTCGATCACAAGGAGACGGTAAAACTAGCTCACAAGGAATAACCACAATAGAGAATACTAAGCGTAATAAGAACAACTCAACAAGGGAGAAAATAATGTGAAGCAACGATCCCACAATATGTAGTTCAACAACAAGGAAGCTAACACGAACCAGATAATTCTAAATAAGGAAATGTCAACTAAATATAGGATGCCTAAACTTCTTTTAAGGTTGGGCAAATTACGAATAATATACAAAAATTTCAATTAAGGATGAGCAGCGGGAAGATAATCATAACCTCAATTAAGATAAACAATTACAGGAGAGATAATAATGGTTTCCAATAAAGACAAGCAATTATGAAAGATAATATGACAATAGAAGAGGTAAAAATCTTCAATTAAGCAAAATAAGAGTCAAATAGGCAATAAGAATGAATCATAAAACAATTAATTCCAAATAAAGCATGTAGAGGTGAAACTAGTAAATGGAAGCTCAATCATATCAAGAACAACTTCATACTCAGTGAATACAAGGACCTAAGAACTCTAAAAGGCCAACTTTCCACAAATGAGTCCGAACACGCACTCGTCACCTCGCGTACACGGACTACAATCAACATAGCAGACTCAAATCCTAACGGGAAGTCTCTCACACAAGGTTAGGCAAGATACTTACCATAATCCGGCCAATTCAATTCTCAATTTAGATTTTCCTTTACTAAAAATTCACCAATGCTCGGCTCAATCTAGCCAAAAACAACTTGAATACATCAACCAATGCAAGAGAAAATAATTTCAATTAACAAAACTATGGTTCTTTCACAATTTGCAAAAAGTCAACAAAAGTCAACTCCCCGGGCACGCACCTCGGAACCCGACAAAATTTACAAAAATCGAATACCCATTCCGCTAAGAGTTCACCCATATAAAATTTATCAAATTCCGATACCATTTGGCGCTTCAAATCATCATTTTACATTTTTGGATGATTCTACAATTGTCCCCAAATTTTCCTTTAGATTCTCATGAATTTGACGTTAAATATAAGATATAATCACAATATATAGTTGAAAATTGATTAGAGACACTTACCCAATGATTTGGTATGAGAATCTTCTCTCAAAATCGCCCACTCTCGGAGTTAGGGTTCAAAGAATATGAAAAATGAGCAAAAACTCGAGTTACACAGCTGAAAACAAGCTACAGATGTCGCATTTGCGATCCAGGGTTCACAATTGCGAACCCTCGCAAAAGCGAAGAAAGCCTTCGCAATTGCGAACAAGGAAGGGCTGGAAAAAGTCGCATTTGCGACCATACCAGAAGCAGCAATTTTTTCCGAAACAAAAATGAGCATAACTTCCTCATACGATGTCCAAATTCGATTATTCTTTTTGCTATGGCTCCATAATTACGATACAGATCTAATGGTTCAATAAAACTGAATTTGGAGCTCATTTGTTTAATGTGGTACCCTTTATTCCCAAAGAAACGACGTTGAAACATCAAATAAGAGCGCAATACAACCCGAAACACACCCGAGGCACCCGGGACCCCGTCTACACACACAAACAAGTTATATAACCTAACACGGACTCGCTCGAGGTCTCAAATCATATCAAACAATGTCGAAATGACAAATCACACCATGAATCGAGCTATGAACTTCCAAATCTTCCAACTTCGAAAACTTGTGCCGAAACTGATCAAATGAACCTGGAATGACGCCAATTTTTGCAGACAAGTCCAAAATGACATGACGGAGCTGTTCCAACTCTCGGAATCGCATTCCGACCCCGATATCACAAAAGTCAACTATGGGTCAAACTTCTCCGTTTTCCAAACTTCAACTTTTCCAACTTTCGCCGAAGCGCCTCAAATTACCCTACGGACCTCCAAATACGAATCCGGACGCACGCCTAAGCCCAAAATCACCATATGAAGCTGTTGAGATCACCCAAAATCCATTTCGGGGCCGTTGACTCAAAAGTCCAATTCCGGTCAAATTCTCACCGTTCAAACTTTCAAAACTAGTTTCCTTCTTCCAATTTGACTCTGAATCATCCGTTAACTGAATTCAACCATGCACACAAGTCGATATACATATTATGAAGTTGTTCAAGACCTTACGCTGCCGAACGAAGCTTAAATTCTCAAAACGACCGGCCGGGTCGTTACAAACATGCTCCTAACGATTAAAGCAATAAAGTAAAACTAAACAAAATATTCATGTTCAAATTTCTCTTTCAGGTTAAGTGTCCAACCCCACGAGACCCAATGGAATAAAACAACAAAATTAATCAAAGGCATTCATAGATTCAAATCCCTTTCATGTCTTCAAGATCGTATATACTTTAATTCAAAATTATCCAGACAAGCCCACAACTTGAAACTAATACATGTTTTCATGTGCTAAAGTAAAAGAGGCAGCGATCCAATCAAACAAAATAACATGACAACACGAAAAATTTTCCAAGGTCCACTTCAATGAATTCAAAGAACTTAACTACGTAAACATCAAGGACTAAACAAACAAATTAAAATAATCAATGAAAGCTAAAACATGCTAACCCGAAAAGCCACACGAGTTGCTAATGGCAAACACATATAACAAACAAGCAAAACGAGATGAAACAAAGTGGGAGTAAAGATGACCTTTATAATTGCAATCTGCATTTGGATCACCTCCAATAAAATGACCCGAACAGCTATAGTTTGTTGCTATGGTATTGAAACAAAATCCGATGAATCACCCAAAACTTGACCGCGAACAGGGCCATCAACCGGAGCTCGAATGGCATTTCAATCGGCGCCGCAAGACCAACGACTGCTATAGTATCCATAAGCTAGAAACTAGAATCAAAAGTGGGGTTTTCGATCTTTAAGGCGGCGCCCATGGCTGAGATCTTTTGGGTTTTGGAATTGATTTTTATGATGTTTTATGGCTTATTTTTTGTGCTGATTGCAGCGGTTTTTTCCTGAATTTTTGGAGCTTTATTTGGTTGGTTTTAATGGAGTTTTAAGGGGATGCTTTTGGATAAAAACGGGCTGCTAAAAGGTGAAGATTTGCAGCACTTTAATGGCTGCATTTTTGGTGCATTTTAGGCATTTTTTACTCTATTTTTGTTCTGGAGTTTGGTGGCTGTTTTGAGTGACGAAGATATTGGTTTTGAGATGAGCTCAATTGTCTATAGCAATGGAGTTTCACAGGTATGAAAACTGGTGAGCTGTGGCGACTCACACGGTTTTGTCCGTGACTCTCCCTAAAATTCCTCTAATCGTCTCTCTATCTCCGTTCCTTCTCCTCCCCTCTGCTATATGATTGTGTCACTTTTTATTTAATCAATCTTGGAGAGGATGAAATAAAATTCAGAAACCGTGTGTGGTCCACAAGATCAAAATGAAATCAGAGAAAATTCTTTTGTTACATGTGCTTGTGTGCATGTAAATTTGTTATGAAACTTTGTCCACTTGCGGTGAGATGGCATAATTTTATTTGCTCCTTCTATCTTTCTTTAATCCAAACGTAAAAAAAATAAGAACAAAAGGTATACAGAAAAATTTAACTAATACTCTGTATTCTATTCTAACGTACGGACTAAAGAAAACATTTTACCTTTTTCTTTCTTTTGTAAGTATTAAAATAGCAACGAAACAAAGTTAAGAGAAACTCACTATTCAAAATTCATCTGAGTTCCTTTTTTTCATTTTTGATTTTTATCAAAAGTAGAATAAATCAAAAATAACTTGAGCAAATACCAAGTAACTCAAATAAAAGTAAAAATATTTTTTATAGTTTTCATTTTAAGAGAAAATATAGCAAAAAAGGTTAAAACTAGTTAAAATAGTACTATTAGGCCTAAAACCAACATCTAAGCACTAAAAGTTGTAAAATTTCAGGAAGGGTCAAAAATTACATGTCTACAAGGCCTACCAGGGAAGCATAACAACAAGTTTCGCATCCACCTCTCGAAAGACCTTTACCTACCAAACCACAACCTCTAGCTAGTTGTGCAGGTGGTGTAGCAGTTGGTGCGGAAATCATGGTCTGAATGCCCCGCTGAGATACACCTATCCAAAGCCAGGAATAATCCCTCCTCATGTGCCTCGAGTCACCACACTCAAATCAAGATCTTAACTAACATGGCTATTAGGACTGAGCCTTCCCCGGACGACTGGAATAACCACTGTAAGAACCCTGACCTGAAGATGTACTATGGGAACCAAGTGCGGGAGGTTCACTAAATGACGACTGCCCTAGACGAGTAGCATGAAATCCATGGATAGCTAGAGCACCACATGAAGTATGAAGTGCTGACTGAAGTGGCCTACTAGAATAGCATCTACCCTAGTGACTCTTGCCCAAGAGTAGGCACCAACAAGATACCACGATGCTTCTTGTCCTCTCTATATGCCTCTGTTGCTAGTGAATACGCTTTAATATCCTAGCAATCTCTACAATCTGGTGAAAGGTAGTCTCAGTCTCAACCTCCCATGCAATCCCAAACCTAAGACTGTAGCTGACACCCTCAATGCACCTCCGTACTCTTTCCTTCTGAATAGGAATCAGGAAAGTTGCATATTGTGACAACTCTATGAAGCTCATCTCATATTGGGTAACAATCATACCGTCTTGCTGCAAGTGTTGAAACTGGTTGTGAAACTCATTTCTCTTGGTGAGTGGAATGAATTTCTCTAAGAAGAGAGTCGAAATTGATCCTATGTGAGAAGTGACCCTAATTGCCTGCCATGCTCAAACGTCTACCACCACCTCTTGGTTGGCCATCTACACCGAAATATAGTGAAATCAACTACATTGGACTCAGGTCCCAAATTGGATAAAAACTCATGTGTAACGACCCGGTCGGTCGTTTTAAGAATTTACGCCCCGATCCCCTATTAACTGCATTTCTCATGTTTGTTTCTGCTATTGTGAGTTGCCGGGAGGATTTATTTAGAGTTTCGGAGAGTTTTGGGACACTTAGTCAATGAGAGCTTAAGTTTTAGAATTTGGATTGTAGTCAGAACAGTGTGAAGACGACCTCGAAATAGAATTCCGTTGGTTCTGTTAGCTCCGTTGGGTGATTTCGGGTTTAGAAGAGTGTTCGGATTTTGAGCTGGAGGTCCGTAGCTTATTTAGGCTTGAAATGCTGAAAAGTTGAATTTTGAAGTTTCCGGTTCGATAGTGAGATTTTGATATCGGGGTTGAAAAGGAATTCTGGAATTTGGAGTAGCTTCGTAGTGTTGAATGTGACGTATGTGCAAAATTTTAGGTGATTCGGACGAGGTTTAATATACTTTTTGATCGAATGCGTAATTCGGAAGTTTTTGGAATTTTTAGGCTTCAATTCGATGATGATTTGGTGTTTCGACGTTGTTTGAGGTGTTTTGAAGATCGGTATAAGTTTGGGTAGTGGTATATGACTTGTCCGTGCTGTTGGTTGAGGTCCCGGGGGCCTCGGGGTAATTTCGGATGGTTGACGGAAAGTTAGGAATTTGGAGTTGCAGCTGAAGTTTATGGCTGCTATCATAACTGCATCTGCGGTTGAGAGGCCGCAGGTGCGACTCCCGCAGATGCGGTATCAAGCCTAGAAGCAGCCAAGAGGTGAGTCGTGAGGAGCCGCAAAAGCGGATGCCTGGACGCATCTGCGATGGCACAGGTGCGAGTAATCGACCGCAGGTGCAGTCCCAGGCCTTTAAGTGAGAACCGCATATGAGATTATTTTTCCGCAGAAACGGGACCGCAGGTACGGTCCCTTGGCCGCAGAAGCGGGTTTGCTGGGCAGAAAACAAGAATTTCGAGGGTTTGAAATCAAAAGTTAGAAAATTGATTTGGAGCTCGGGAGAGGGCAATTTTGGGAGGATTTTGAAGAGGTAATCAGTGGGTAACGATTCCTAATCCCTTTCTAGTTATATTCCTATAATCTAATCTTAGTTTTGTCATTAAATTTTGGATTTGAGATGAAAATTGGGAAAAAAATTTGGAGAAAGTTCTTAGACCCAAACTTCGAGTTTTGTTTGGGAATTTGACATTGGATTTGGATAATTTTGGTATGATTAGACTCATGAGAGTATGAGGATTATGAAAATATAAATTTTACCCGATTCCGAGATGTGGGCCCAGAGGGCGTTTTGGTCATTTTACCGATTTCGCGTATTAACTTAGAATGTAATTGTAGAATCAGTTACTTGAAGTGTTTTTTATATTATGCAATTGAATTGAATAGATTTGGGCCATTTGGAGTCGAGTACTCGTGGCAAGAGTGTAGTTTCGGGTTAATTTTGAGCCGGTTCGAGGTAAGTGGCTTGCCTAACCTTTTGTGGGGAAAACTCCCCTTAGGATTTGGTATTGTTGATATTTGAAATGCCTTGTATGTGAGGTGACGAGTGCGTACTTGTGCTAATTGTTGAAAATCCTATTTTCATTAAGTAACTCTAATTGTGTTTCTTTTCCTGGTTATACTATTTGCAATGTAAGTCTACTGTTAGCTTAGGGAAGCATGTCTAATTGCCTTAATTGCTTTATTTGTTCAAACTGCCTTATTTGGATTATTTGTGGCATGCTAGGTTAGAAATACCTGTTTTTACCTTGGTATGAAATTTGAACTGAATTGAGTATTCTTCGTGTTGCTGCTGTGTGTTTACTTTGGAACTACGGGACGGTATCCTGGGAGATCCCCCTGCTTGTTTACTTTGGGACCATGGATTTGTATTCCGGGAGATCCCTGCACCTATACTGATTTGGGCTGTAGTGCGGGATACCGAGAGATCCCCAACACGTATATTGAGGATACTAAGAGATCCTTGGGATACCGAGAGATCCCCAGCATATATATTGAGGATACTAAAAGATCCTTGGGATACCGAGAGTTCCCCAGCATATATTGAGGATACTAAGAGGTCCTTGGGATACTGAGAGATCCCCGGTTGTTATCTCTGTGTCGAGCTGTATTCCTTTCCGTGATTATTTTGTCTCTATTATAGTTGTTGTTGTTCTTTCTATCCTGTGTTACTTCTTACTATTGCGCTTAATTATACTGTATTATTCTATTCTGTTATACCTTGTATTTCATTTAACCTCAGTAGGGCCCTGACCTTCCTCATCACTACCTGATCGAGGTTAGGCTTGGCACTTATTGAGTACCGTTTTGGTGTACTCATGCCCTTTCTGCGCATGTTTTTCATGTGCAGATCCAGGTACTGTCACTCAGTCTTATCACCCTTGAGGCGAGGCGCTTTTGTAGATACTTTGAGTTATATCTGCCGCATCCGCAGACCGAGGAGTCCCTTTCTATTCTCTGTACTAGTTTAGCCCTTCTGTATTTTCCTTGTTGATAGACATTTCTGGAGTTAGAGCTTTTTATGTATCTCTTAGCTTGTGATTCATGGGATTCCGAGTTTTGGGAATTGTTCAGTTTTTGAGATCTAGTATTGGTATATGCCGAGCGGCATCTTAAACACTTCTACATTTGTTTATTTTTAGTTTTTATTAGTTTTCCACATTTTGTTCCTTTTTCCGCAATTGTTAGGCTTACCTAGTCGTAGAGACTAGGTGCCGTCACGACAGTTCACGGAGGGCGAACTTGGTTCGTGACAAGTTGGTATCAATGCTCTAGGTTCATAGGAATCATGAATCACAAGCCGATTTATTAGAGTCTCGTAGATCGGTACGGAGACGTCTTTACTTATCTACGAGAGGCTATGTAACTGTTAGGAATGTTCCACTTCATTTGATTTCCTTGTCGTGCAAGATTTTTGATATCACAACTCTAAACTTCTGTCTTCTATTCTCTCACATATGGTGAGGACACGTGCTACCCGAGATGATTAATCACATGCGCCCCTTACTGGAGCCGTCAGAGGCTAGGGCCAGGGTAGAGGCCGAGGACGCGCATGTGGTGTAGCTAGAGCACCCGCACGAGCTTCCACCGAGGTGCCACCAGCAGTTCCAGCCGGAGTCCAGACACCTGATACGCCCACAACTACTACTACTCCAGCACTCCAGGAGACTGGCACAGTTTATGACCATGTACACCACTCTAGCTCAGGCAGGGTTGCTTCCCATTGCTGTACTACATCCCAGGCCGGGGGAGGAGCACAGACTCCCGCCGCCCTCACTCTTGAGCAGCGAGTACATGTTGATCAGGTCCCAAGAGATTATTCCTGTACAGCCGGTAGCCCCAGCTCAGCTCGAGGAGAGGGCAGTAGCTTCAGAGAAGGAGCAGAAGAGGTTTGAGAGGTTCAAGAAGTATCAGCCTCCTACATTCAGCGAGCTAGCCTCAGATGATGCTCTTGGATTTCTAGAGGAGTGCTACTGTATCCTCCGTACCATGGGTATATCAGGATCAAGCGGGGT